AGGTTGCCATTAGGGGATAGATAAAAATCATCCATTTTTGTCTTATCTATTTCCCTAGTAACCATTTCCAAAAATACCTCCAAATTTTTATAATCCTGAAAATGAGGGGTAAACTTACTCTTGGGTTTCAAATTAGTATGTGGTATATCAGATTGTATAGTACCATCTCCAGAGTTAAGTAATTCCACCAGAGTGTCTAAGCACTCCAAGTCATTTGGTGATAGACCCAAGCTTTGGGCCTTAGTTTCTTTACGTACTGCATGGTATTTATACAAGGCAAGCTTTCTCACAAAAAGGTTTACATCCTTAGTCCAGTTGAACTTGCTGAATGTTGGAATGGGTACGAATGAAAGACCCTTCTCCAATACGCTAAGTTCGGTCTGACCAAGGATGGTATCAGAGAGATTAATAATACGCAGAGAGGATGCTATCATTCCCTGCGTCGTCTCTGACTTCTGCCCCTGTATCTGGTGTGCGGACCCTGAGTTAGATCCGCTTGTCTTAATCCTAAAAAATCCACCCCCTTTTTTAGAATACTTTTAGTTGGATTCCTAGGAGTAGGGGTTTGAGGTTTTTCAGTTTCAGTATCGGTTGATTCGTACTCAGATGTACTGAATTGGTCAGAGTCTACTTTAGATCTCTTTTTAAAAGAACGGTAAATTCTACCTTGTTCAAAGTCCTTTGTATCTCTCATATACTTCTGGTGTTTCCTCACTTTTATAATGTGAGAGAATTTGTCCAGATTGGATTTGAGTTTTATCTCTAGTGATTCAAATTGTGGTTCTACTTTAAAACCCTGGACCACCTCAATCTCTTTATCCAGTTCTAGTTGGACATTGGATAGTTTAATAGACTCATATTTACAAATAATACTCATGAACGTATTTGAGCATTTAGTAGCTGCCTCATCCCATTCTTTATAGAAGTCTTCCATCTCGACTTGTCTTGATGGAGAGGTCTGAACTCTTAGCCCTCTAGGGATGATATTTTTAGAGATGTATTTCTCGAGAGTGGAGACTTCCCAGCTTATCTTAATTTGTTGTTTAAAGAGTTTAGTAAGCTTATTAAAGCTGGTGTGAATATTAGGGGGAGACAGTGTATCTAGTGTACTTTCAGTACTGAACACAGAATCAGCGTCCGCACACCATGTACTTGCGCTGGGTTTTTTAGACAGAAAGCCTGCCATTGTAGTTTGGAAAAAAGGTTATAAAAACTGATAATAGTAATGGTGGTGACCACACGGTGAGTAACACCAATATAATTAAATAACAAGAAAAAGGAAACTCAAAAGGCTGGAAAGTGGGAGGGGAGGAAAAGACACTCCCGTATCCCACTGCCGAGCCTCCAGAGTATAGAGGTCACCTGGACTGGTAAAAGGGGGTAACCCTGGAAATTGTAGAAAAAAGGAAGAAAAAAACCCAAAAAGGGATGTCTTATATAAAGACCGCCCAGAGGGTAAATACCCAGTCCAATCTCAACAGTAGTGTAGTTGCCAAAAAATAAAAAATCCTTTATTGAAATCTATTAAAAAACCTGGGTAATCAGTGATGGACAGAATAATATAGGGAGAAATATGTATGGTAGGAACAAGGCTAATCAAGAGCCAACCCTCACAAGAAGCAGAGAGGGGATAGAAGGCAATATGTACCCCCATACATAACTCAGGTAACAAAGCAGTAGGAAAGAACAGGGAAAGGGAGAAACACACACTCCCAACCAAACAGTAGTGCTATGCTAATACCCTATCTCCTATAAAACACCTTCGTGGGTGTTCTAATCTAAATGCTGTCATAACATCTGAAGCCCCAGGTTACACACACATACTAGAAAAACATAAATGAAAAGGTGCTCAGAGCAAAGTGCTCAAGAGAGTATTAAAAACACAGAAGAACCCGACGTACGTTTCGGCGTGACCACACGCCGTCCTCAGGGGTATCAGCAGTGAGCAAAAAACTGTCCGGGTGGTAAATTTATACCTTAAGCTCATAAGCTTTATTGTAATCACCTGTGATTGTGTCTAAATTGCTCCGGTCCTCCTGCGAATGGGGCTGTGGGGGTGTGGTGTAACACACCATAGTGTCAGCCCACATTTCTATGTCAGAGGTAGCCAGAACAGAAATCAGGTGAAAGGGAATTAACCCTTTGAGTGCCCCGCCCGGAACAGATATAAATGGATACTTACTATATCTAAAAGGCAGTATCCATAGCTTAACAATTAACCCTTGGAATGTCCAAATTGTATCATATAGGTCAAGTGTGTGGATTGATTCTTATGGCTGTATTGTGTAGCTTTAGTACAATTAAAGAAACAACTTATAACCGTTGTGAACCAGTAAGGGATAAGTACAATGGCTATATGGGCAGTCATACACAGAAGCCGACAATTCTTTTATTGCCACTGTAAATAGTAACCCATTAGTTTATGCAACACAAAACAGACCCCTAAACTCTTAGACCTATAATGCAGGTAAAATTAATGGACATATGAACACCAAATATAATAGAAATAAATAAAGAATATATACATATATACAGGCATAACTTAAGATACCATTTATTATCAGAATTATTGCAGTACTTTAAATAAACGGGGAATATGAAAACCCTTCATTTAGCCCCAGGGGAGATAGCGTTTTGAGATGGTAAATCCAAAACGCCTCTCTTTGTCTTAGTTTTAGGTCCCAGTTTCCTTTCCTAGGAGGCTGTGGTACATGTTCAAGACCCATGAACCGGATGCCTGCCGAGGAGTGATTGTGATGTAGATGTAAATGCCTTGAGACAGGTGTTTCCAAACGTCTCTTGACAGAATTTACATGTTCACGTATCCTTAGCCTGAAGTGGCGAAAAGTCTTGCCTACATATTTTAGGCCACAGGAGCAAGACAGTAGGTAAACTACTCCTGTTGTGTTACAATTAAAGAAGGAACGTGGTTTGAAATTCATTAAGCCCTTGCTGTCAGAGGCCCTCTTGGTAATAAACGGGCATGCACTGCAGTGACCACATTGGAAAGAACCCATTGGTAGGTATTTTTGAAAATAACCTGACGGGGACGTAGTTGAGAGGTGACTAGGTGCTAGGATATCTCTCAAGTTTTTGCCCCTCCGTGCTGTAATTGAAGGGAGTGATGGCAGAATTTCCTTCAGATGCTTATCTGATTGGAGGATAGGCCAGAATTTTTGAAAGACATTCAGCATAGTGTCCCATCCTGCATCATATGTACCTATGCAGCGTATTTTATTTTCCTCAGTCTTACGACCCCCATCTGTAATTAGGGTTTCCCGTTCAGTGTGGATTGCCCTCAGATAGGCTCTTTTCAGAACCCTATTTGGGTAACCTTTGGCCTTAAACATGTGACGCAGCTCATTTGCTTTTAATTTGAACTCCTCCATCGTGGAGCAGTTTCGTCGAAGTCTCAAATATTGGCCTATTGGGATACCGGATTTGAGTGATATGGGGTGATGACTAGACCAGCATAGCAGGTTATTTGAGGCTGTCTTCTTTCTGTACAAGGTTGTTTCAATTTTGCCTTCTTTAGATACCTGTAGTGCTAGATCTAGAAAGCAAAGGTTTTGACCCCCTACTTCACTAGTGAATCGTAAGTTAAAATCGTTGCTGTTCAGCAGACATACAAATTCTTTGAATCTCTCTGATGTATCAAGCCAAATCAAAAACACATCATCGATGTATCTTTTCCAATAGAAGATCTGATTAGTGTATGATTTCAGCTTAGGATCTGCCCTAATACACCTTTCCCACCAGCCTAGATGGAGATTGGCATATGAGGGTGCACAAGACGTCCCCATAGCTGTACCAGTGGTCTGGTGGAAGATTTTGCCATTGAACAGAAAGATATTACGAGTCAAAATGAATTCAAGTAATTCCATCACAAAATTCACATAATGTTCAGGTAGGTCAGTTTCAAGATTTAATAGTTGACGGGTATGTTTAATACCTAGGTTATGAGGAATTGAGCTGTAAAGGGCCTCCACGTCAAGGCTACACAGGATAGCGTTTGGAGGTAAAGTAAGGTTGGTCAATAAATGCAACATTTGTTTAGTATCTCTAAGGAAAGATGGTAGCTTCTGTACTACTGGGGACAGAATTTTATCCACATAAATGCTTACATTCTGAGTTAGATTATCACAACCAGAAACTATCGGCCTACCGGTCGGATCGGTTAGTGATTTGTGCACTTTAGGCAAACAATAAAAAGTAGATAGACATGGTTGTTTGGTGCACATAAATTCAAACTCATCCTGATTAATGAGTTGATGATTCACAGCCTTAGTAAGCATAGTTTTTAACTCAGCTTGGAACGCTTTTGTAGGATCTTTTGCTAGTATGCGGTAAGTATTTTTATCGGATAAAAGTCTTTCAGCTATACGAATGTAGTGGTCTCTGTCAAGTATCACCACATTGCCCCCTTTATCAGAGGGTTTGAAAATCAAATTTGTATAGCTCTGTAGTTTTTTCAGGGCTATTAGTTCCTGAGTATTAAGGTTGCCATTAGGGGATAGATCAAAATCATCCATTTTTGTCTTATCTATTTCCCTAGTAACCATTTCCATAATGCTAGATATACACAGAAATGCACAATAGGGGGACGGAGCCTGACTAGCAAGCGTGTATGAAGTGCTCTGCTCGAGCTCCTGCCGGACGGCAACATAAACGTCAGAAATCGGGGTGTGCAACCCTGAAAAACTCGCAAAACGAGGCTACACAGCTTGGGGAACCAAGTGCACACCTGCAGATGCCTGACTTGTCACCCGGTATGCCCGGGATCCAAGTCGGAAGACTGTGGTCTACGAGAGAGGACGGGCTGGGAGGACGGCCGCTTCCCGCTTGCCACTCAGAGCCACAGACAAGCACAAATCATCCCACCCCCCCCTTTGGACCGGTGGGGGTTACCCCGGTTCCTGCCACACAGAACGGGCCCGGTCCCTAACCTGCTAATGAAGCCAGCAACCATAGCTGACGGACCGGAGGAGCAGGCCTCTAAAATGGCGGCCACACGCGATGAATACACTCGTGGCAAGCAGCAGCAGCCTGCATCACCAGACCTCAATCTAAAATTGAGAGACTCCCTGGATGTGATTTTTGATAAGTTTTGGACTCAGCTACTGGCCCACACACGACCAGCCACTGCCATACCGCTCACTGTCCCACCTACAGTACTGGCAAGCAGCACCAAGAGGACTGGGAAACCTCTGATGGGCACCAAAAATCGCCAAACCCCTGCAACTTGCATGAATCGCCCACCTGGACAGAGGGCAACTAGGGGATTGACCCGCAGGTACCGGCCACACAAGCGGAGGGCCGCAGGAACCACATGGAAACACACGCCAGACCCATGCACAGCCCAACGTACCCGTCCGCTGGGAAGGACTCTGGACCTGAAAGGACCCCAGGCTCGTGGCAGGAAGGTACCAGCCCTCACACTGACCCAGGGCCGAGGAGGCACCATGTCCACAAAGGGCTGTATAGCCGACCTGCTGTATATCCTCGACTGCTCCTATACCCAGCTGCGCACAGGGATTGGATGATATGTCTGGTTGGGAGATGCAGCTGCAGTCTGGTGTTGGAACTGCACACAGCGGGACTAGAATGCTTATAATATACTTGGACACTCTTTGACCTAATTGAACTCTATGTAACGTATTGCCACACCATACACCAGCTTCCACTACCTACACTGCACAACATGCTCGCATCCTACAATGGTATTAGCTTAAAGATACAAGCAGCATTAGACTTACTCATCCACCTTGCTCTGATGACATAAACGTATAGAGAATCTTGTTATGTACCACATGCTAATTACACGAACCAAACATGAGCACTCTCAATATAATTAATATAAAAATGTGCACGCTGTCCTGAAACTGTACGAATTGAGCATGAGGACTACCGTTAGGGCACCGCACGCACGCTGTTAAACTTCTGCACTGCAAAAATATATATATTTTTTTTTAAAATTTAAAATCCTGAGAGATAATATTGTACCTCATTGTACCTTTCCTATCACCCCCCAACTATTTATCAGGGAGGATTCCCCCACCCCTATTTTCTACACCTATAATGATTTTTGGTGTGAGTCACTTTAATTTAATTTTATTTTGCATCTTAACATATATATTTTTTTAATTCTTTATTTTCAAGATACTTTGATTGAACAACATTCTTATGAGCAGTCGGCATATAATAAGGCATAACTGTTATGCAAAAATAGTGAGTAAAACAATACTCTGAAAATGTGCGGTGCAGCAGTGATTACAAGCATCAATGGTCCAAGCAATTAAAATTGGTTGGGGACATCGGGAATGAGTTAGCTCGGGTACAAGCTCTAGTATGGGTTTTAAGCTTGTCACGGTCCCTATGCATGATACCTATGACTTGTGCCCTAAAGTGGCTCAAGTATATAGGCGGAGGGGCGGACTACAGGTACAGTGTCATATAGAAAATATTCTGGCACCAGGCTTAGGAGATGGGTGTATATTATGATTAGTGTGAGCATGTGTGCACTAGATATTGTGCAGGTAGATTAGGAGGATATGCATCCATGCTGTGTGCCCCTGACCTAGAAAAGCAGCGGGGGTGAAGGTGGGCATCTGGTGTCAGCTTATGTATGTGCCAGCCTATTCAGCCCTCGCATGTGCAGGGCTCGTGCCTATGAGGGCACTGTGAGGTTTCGCCATTTGTGAGCAAAAATACAAACTACTAAATTAAACCATCTATGAACACAAACGAAATCAGGGATTTTCTCAGGAGGAGTCCCTCGGGAATGTTCTCTGTACAGTCATGATGTTGCTGGCTGTGAATTCATCGATCTCGGGATAAAGGGTGTTTTGGAAGCGGGGTCCCAGGAGTTTGCCGGTGCACTGGAGGTGGAAGGTGCGTTTGGGTGCAACAGTCCCAATGCTCCTAGAAAAATCTGAGCTTCTCCCATATTTGGTAGTGTATGCACAGTTCCATTTTGAGTCACAGCTAAGGAGCCATTTGCTCCCCATTGGTAGGCAATTCCTGCGGTTCTCAGATGGGTCGTAACTAGGCCAAAGCTCTTACGCATCCGGAGGGTGGCCCTCGTGAAGTCCTGGTAGAATGTGAGAGTTGAGTTCTCAAATGTGAGCGGTGGCGACATAATTTATAGTTTGTCCGGCAGGGTGATGCATCTTAGGATGATGTCCCGCACCAATGATGTGGTGCTGTGAGTAGGGCTTTGGAGATGGTATACACTGTCTATATTCATTTTTTTGGCCCCAGTAGGAGGCAGGATAGTAGCCAGCATTCTTCTAATGTAGTGCGCAGTTCATCTGTGGTTCGTGGCAACTGGGGGGATGCCCTTTATCTTGATATGCGTGTGTCTCTGACGGTCTTCGAGTGTTGTGAGTCTGAGTGACAGGGTTTGGTTTTGGGCTTGGAGTGCTTGTATGGAGTTTTCCACATTGATTAAGTGGTTTTGTACTTCCATCACCTTTTCCTCAGTAACTCGAACTCTCTAAGTGACCGCCTGGACCTCCGTTTTAAGTAGTGCGGAGTCCGCTGCCAGTAGTTTGTGGATGTCCGCCAGAAAGAGTTTTGAGTCCCGCTTAGTGGTGGGTGCTGAATCGTCTAACAGCTCTTGCGGCTCAGCTTGAGGTTTGTTAGACTTCAGGTCTGTCATGGCCTGCTGCTGTGCCTGTTTCCCTGACATGCAGGTCTTCCACGAGAGTGGGTCTAGGTTGAGTGGGCCTTTGCAACATGGCCCCTATGTCCCGTGCCTCCGCCGGGGTTTGGGGCTTCTGAGAGCGCCGGCCCTTGTCTGGCATTGATGCTGATGAGGATGGTGGTGACTGGGAGTGTGGGCTCTCAGCTCCGTTCGTGACAACGCCTCCCAGGATATCTTCCAGGCTTTGGAGTGTGCAGTAGGCCCCAGGCCTGGGCTTCCTCAGTGATGATTTTTTTGCCTGAAAGAAAGGCATCGATTGGTTCCTCTTGCCCCTCTGATTCTGGCTAGGTAAGTGTGGTGGTTGGATTGTACCCTAAACATATTTTTTTATGGTCACAGTCACATACTATTTCCTTTTAGAATTGTTTAAACAAAAGTCCTGAAGGTTAATAAAACCTTCTTGTTTGCAGTTGGAAATAATTGTGTTCTATTGGAATTTTATCTCAATAAATCTTTTATCATAAAGGAGCAAACAAGCCTTTTGTGAACAGACTACAAAGTTTATGGGACATAAAAGAGCTATGTTGCTAAAAGGAAATATTGACATTAAAGCACAGATTGTCCCAGGGTATACATTGATAAACTGGAATCCCTTCTAGTATATAAAGGGAGGTCAACGTTATAATATCGTCCGGTGGATGCTTTGAGTGTGGTGGAAAGCTGCAATCATGAAGATTTTAATATTTGCGCTTGTCTGTCTGCAGCTCTCGGAGGGGCTTGTAAGGTGAGCATCACAGCATAATAAACTATAAAAAAAAACACAAAATCATAGACGTAAACAAAAACTAGATCATAATATTAATTTAGATTTTTTTATAGTAGGCACTGGCATTGCCAACAGACTCATCTAGACTAGAGGTGTTAAAGGTTTAACTCAAACATGCCTACAATCTAACAGATGTAAAGCAAATTATATAAATAGTAAACTACACAATATCCAAGTTGACAAGATTTTTATTTTGTGTTTTAAATACAAAGCATTATCAATAGAGTAAAAACATGTGCACAGCCATAGAGTCATTTAGAAGGCATGCGTTGAGGTGTAAATAGAAGGTTCATAAAAGTAATTGGCCAAGCATAGAAAGTTAAACGGATAGTTTTTCTTATTAGAGATATAGTGTAATATATAGAGTACTGTTGTTGATAGCTTTGTAGTGGAGATCCTGGATTAACAAATCATTTCACATAGGTCAAGATATGTCTTGTAGTAGCATTCATTATGGACTATAATAGTTTACTATAGTGTATTACAGGGCATTAATGGAGTGGAGGGTTCCCCAGAAAAAGATTTGCTGACAAAGCTTGGGTGAAGTGAAATAGGAATAAAAGAATAGTGTTCCTAGATAAGGATACAAAGGTTGAGAAAAAACTGCTGTTTCACAGAATCAAATATGGCAATACACCGTGTAGATGTATGCATGGTCTGGTGGTCCATGACCTCAGTGCTCTGCAGGCCTTGGTGGGATTTAGTTATTTCCTGGGATTTGGGATAGATGAGTTTTGCATGTTCCAAAAATGTGGTGGAACCGAATATATATATATATATACATCCAAAATAGGAAGTATGATACCTGGTCGTACTTTTGGAGGTAACAAATGAAGTATGTGTACCATGGAGATGGTGCTACTCTTTCCAAATTGAAAAAGTACAATTGTGTAGGGAAGATGAAAAATTAAGAGAGGATCAGAGTGAGATGAATTAGAGCAGGCTGCTCCCCATAGTGTATAGGAACGGGGCTGTCCTTTGTGCTGGATGCTGCCTATTTAGTAGGATGATCAGGGGATGCTGCTTCATTTTTAAGAATTATTGTTATAAATCATTTGCCTGATACGAATTTGCCTTTTGGTCAAACATTTGTAACAGTAATCAAAGAAAATGAGGTAAAAATAAAAAAAAGAGAAATATAGAAAAGAGGGATTAAGGGTTAAATTGTAAATCAAGTGCCATCGAGCAAAATTCAGACTATATATTTTTTAAGCAGATATAGAGAGAGCCACTAGAGCCGCTTCCGGGGTGTTAATCGACTTTTGGTCACCTAACTGGTGCTGGACATTCTCATTCTGTGCATGAGGATATCCAGCATCAGCCAAAACTCCATAGGAAAGAATTGAAACTATGGGGTAGCCCTAATGCGCTTGCATACATATATATTTATATTGTAAGTAAAAAATGTCAAATTTGAATAACATACTTTTTTTTTTAATAGAGTCCCTCTGACCAAGGGCAAGTCAATAAGGCAGAATATGCGAGAAGCCGGAGTTCTGCACAAGTACCTGCAGACGCATAAGATCGATCTGTCTGATAGATACCAAGGATATGCTGTTGCTTCTGAATCTATGTATTTTGATGTATGTACCCAGAATAATAATGTTCTATAAATTCAGTTTCATTGCTGTTTTAAACCTGAGAGATACAATAGAATTATAAATAAGAAAACAAACTACAACACTGTTTAAAAAAATAGGAAAAACACACAGAATATTAGTCACCATGCCATAAGGCAAAGTGTGGCTATCTGTGTAACCTGGACATATACAAGTAGTCTAGGAAAAAAATCAAAAGATATACTTAGTACAAAATAAGAAAGTATCCCTATAGGATGTGGATTAAAAAGTCAAGTAGATACAAATATATATCGTGATCCCTGGGTGGTATAATGATGTTACCAGTATATCCTTAGCAATAGATAGAAATTCTGAGCTTTATTCGGACTGGCTCTTAATGATTCTATACTATTATTTATAATTTTGCTATCTGAGCATTGTAAAACAAGCATCTTTGTACATGTACATAGTTTTACAGCCATCTATCTAAAGGCAGGTCCAAACAGGATCAGTGAGGGCAACAGGAGGCCACTAGGTTGTGGGAAAAGGAGCCCTTTCATGGTGAATCGTGACTGAAAAGTATGATGGGCCTAATTAGCGTAACCTATAGACAGTTACATACTAAAACAGTCATACCTCCCAAGTGTCATGTCTCTGGAGGAGGTGGTGGAGGAAGAAGACTCACAGTACGCATTTATAAGATGACACATGCCCTATGCATATCTCTCGCTTTCATCTTTCAGCCACATCTATCTGCCCTTTTTGCAAGACCCACAACCCTCAATTCCTCTTCCTCACTAATCACAAACTCTGAATCCTCTCTACTCAACACTCACTTGTACACACCTTCCTTTCTTACTAGCAGGCAGAAGCTCATGGTCTGCAACCTGGAACAGAGAAAGAGGTGGATGTAGTGAGGGTAGTAGAAAGGGGACATGAAACACTGTTAGACAGATTAGAGCATTTACATAGTGCGCAAAGTCAGCTTTGTGTTTTATAATTAGCCAATTCACATAAGTTTTGTTCAGGTGTATCCCTCCCACAGTTAATTCCGTCTACACAACATTATAGAGCAAGAGCATATGAAGAGGAGTGTCTGTCCATCTATCTATCTGAATGGGCCTATTCCATGGGCATGGGGCTGGAGCCTCAACTCCATTAGTCCCTATGTTAATCCGGCCCTGCTCATTGCTATCTCTGTAACAGAGCTTTGTTTTGTCATGGGACCTGTATCAGTTCTGGATAAAAATTAATAGATCACCGCAGATTGTAATAGGTAAACGTCCGAGTCACTGGAGCTTCTTCTATATGATAAAATGGCATGTAACCCAAAACACACTTGTGATTTTATCCTCAGACTATGTGCATTATTTAATTTATTATAAATTAAATATTTTCAACCCCTTTTTCTTCCTCCAGGTCTATCCTGTATCACTGTTATTGTTTTATATCTGTTATAAACTAGTTTGTGTAACAGTGAAATGTATTTTGTCTAACAACTCAACTTTCTTCCTTAGACATATTATTATGGACCAATAAGCATTGGAACTCCTCCCCAGAATTTCCTGGTCCTGTTCGACACTGGCTCATCTAATCTCTGGGTTCCCTCAACCTACTGCCAAAGCTCAGCCTGCAGTAAGTGCCACCTGTGTATAAGTGAGAAGGTGGGGTAATGAATGATTAGCCAATGACTGCATGGGTGAATAAAAATAATGTTTCAAATAGGAAATACTAATCTAAGCATAATGATGATGTGGAGAGTGCTCCATGCTTTAAATTCCTTGATATGAGTTTATGATTTTGATATTTACGTATAAATACGTATTATTTATTCATTTTCAGTTTGATAAAAGTAAAAAATAGAGAAGGAAAGAGGGTTACATGAAGTATAAAGGCATTTCAAATCATGGCATACATTTTGTTAAAGTGACATAGCAACTCCATCTAAATGAGGTTGTTATGGTGCAAGGCCCTATTACCTCAAGGGCTTAAACCGTTCTCAAAAGGTTTCATTCCCAAGTTGCCTCCAGCAGCAATGTCCTTCCCCACCCTCCCGGCGGCTTCCAGCTTCTGAATTTTCACTGGGCAGGGGAGAGTGGTCAGCTGACGCTCTCAGACAAATCAGTGACTTCCCATTCACTGGCTTGAATGGGGCTTGGAAAGAACTGTTTAACTCCTTGAGGTAAGAGGATTTCCAGGCAACATAACAACTTGATTTAGATGAAGTTGTTTTGGTGCTTCGAGTGTCCCTTTAAGTAGTGTTTAACCCATTAAGGACACATGACATGTCATGATTCCCTTTTATTCCAGAAGTTTGGTCCTTAAGGGGTTAAAGTAGACTGTTAACAGTAAAATAAATATGGTGCTTCACTAAACAGAGAATTATAATGAAATAAATTCACTCTAATTTTATATGTGTATGTGAGTACAGTGAAAAATCAATATTTCAGTTTAACCTGTGGACTTTTATAACGACACTAGAAACATTCTAAAACCAGATGTGTATAAAATCTGAAATGGATTAGCTATATTTATAAAAGTGGCAATTTCCATTGTGGACATACTCTTCACACATAAAGCATTTCAGCAAGCTGGATAGCTTTAGGAGTTCGTAGTGTCCCTTTAACATGGGGAATAATATCACCAAGTGACTTGGACCCTGTAACCATCATATAGCAAAATAAAATGAAGCTTAATGAACTCAAAACTAGAGGTTAGAGGAGACACAAACTCGATTTAAACATCCAGGTGAGACTAGGCCCATGTCCACTAAACAATTAACTAAATGACAAATGTATTATTTTGTAAAATTAAGTGCATAAGGCTACCAAAAGAAAACCAATATAATGCATACACTATATTTGCAATAATTTTAGTTATAAAGTTAGTAAATAGAAAATTGACACTTTGCAACATACTCGAAGGTATGCAATACACACATAATTTAACTTTTTAAAGACTTATTACTATGCATACACTCACAATGTATATCAATTAAAAAAATAAAATTCTGCATGGGAATGGAGACTAACAGAAATAATTGACAAGAGGTTTAACATCTTTACCTTTCCTAGTAAATTGCTTTAATATCCGATGATCACTCTTCCCTCATTGTTAGGTATATTTTCCAAATGAAAATTGCACAATGAGGTCTCATGCCAGGATGTTTTCTTTTTAGTTTGGCCAAGATGTGGCATGATTCATTGCAAAAACATGTTATTTTTATTGAATGCCAGAGCTTTGCCTTCTCATAGGGCATTTATGACACAAGCATGAAATTATATTAAACTGAGCCCAACATGCTTAAAAGATATTATTATTTGGATAAGAATAACACTCCTGACTCGAACATGACAGGTGTGTTTTAATAACTCAATGACAATGTTACTATTGTCTAACAAGTTACAAAAAAAAACAAAAAACATAGAACAAATAACCAACATGCAGCTGCCATTTTGTTCTAGCAAACCATCATGTGTTTAATCCCAGTCAGTCCTCCACCTACACTTCCAATGGACAGCGTTTCACCATGGGATACGGAGGCGGAAATGTAGCCAGCAGTGTCACCGGAGTATTTGGTTATGATACTGTAACTGTAAGTATAGAGAACCAGCATTTGTTTTATTATTACCATTTTGTGACTGTACTGTGACAGACGTCACAGTAATATATATAATATATATATATATATATATATATTAAGTGGTCAAAACAGACTTTGAGAAATTCAGAGTTGCCATACTTTTTCCTTATGTCCACATTGTAAGAAGATCCACGGGCATGGACAACTATATAACTGATGTAAAACATGCAACTATACCAATCAAGTAAGCATTGTAAACTATGTACATTATAGTTATTAATTATAAAAGAAATTTAATACACTAGAATACATTTGCCCCAAATTAAATATAATATATTATTTTCAAAACCCATTCTTTTCATTGTTGTTGATTAGGTCCAAGGAATTTCCATAACCAACCAAGAAATAGGTCTGACAATAACTGAGCCCAGCTCCAACTTCTACTATTCTCCATTCGATGGAATCTTGGGACTTGCCTATCCAGGCCTGTCCGTTGGAGGAGCTACCACTGTAATGCAGGGAATGCTGCAGGAGAATGTGTTGACTCAGCAAATTTTCAGTGTCTATCTGGGCAGGTAATTTCTAATTAAATTACAAATGTCTCTGTCTTCCTATACCTGGTTATATAACTACAATTTTGTGGGGGGGGAAACATACTACATACATCACAATAGATGCTACCAAACTATGAGGATAATTTGATTGAAAGTTTGCATTTCTGCACTTTAGCGGGATAGAGGGATTCTATATTCTAAGTTATCTGATGGTTTTACGTTTATATATTGAAGCAGTGAGCTTAATATCTTAAAAATATAATGTATTCTCTGTATAACAAAAGGACACTTCATTGTTAACTGCTTTGTGGAAAAGTGTATTAAAGTGTAAAAATATGAAAAGTAATATGGTAACTTCACGCATTGTTTTTTAATTACCAGCCAATCAGGTGAAGTCATTTTTGGAGGCGTTGACCAAACCAAGTACACTGGCCAAATCTACTGGGCACCTCTTTCACAGGAACTCTACTGGCAGATCCCACTTCAAGAGTAAGTTTGACCTGCGTCCTGGGACTTTGTCACGCTAGTTCTCAACGCTCTTTACAAAGATGCTTTTGGGTATTAGGCCAGCTCTTTATCTATAGAATGCCAGTTTCTGTACCAAGTCTCCACAACCGGGGAATCTTGTAACCAGAATTGCAGAAATGTTATCTGTTACTCACATGCACTACAAAAATTAAGATAAAACAAATAAACAAATAAAGAAAGAAAGAAAGAAAGCAGCTATGTTTGAAGTTCAGACTTCAATTTAGAAATTCACTAATTCACTTTGAGTTCCTGAGAACACTTACTTTAGTGAATATCCCTACTTCCTTTATTGATATTTGGCATCCCTTGCCCCAGGCCGATAGGCCAGAACTCGGATGTTAATTTAAACTTCACTCAAAAGATGCAAACGCCACTAAAATACATTCATGTATACAAAAGGACTATTAAATAACTTGGGGAAAAAAACATCTAATCCAGATTTGAGGAAATTCTGATTATCCAATAGCAATGGGAATAGTTATTTAACGACATTAAAGATATGGAATTCTCGACCTAGATACTATTTTTTGAGATATAAAATTTATTAAGGACAAGAATAATTACCATGAATGGAAAAGACAGTAAAACAATATAGATGCCTGCTTGTCTCCAATTTTCCTTTTATTTTTTTTGGTAGGTAGACATATGACATTTTTTTAAAGTATTAAAAAATGATTTTTAAAAATCTGCTTAGATAAGTTTTAATATCAAAATTGGTATGTATCCTTTTTGGACAAACATCTATGTTGTTTGTGAATATAATATATTTATGATAATATAATAACAGTCAATATAGACATGATTGTCTGTTTGTTTAAACGAGGAATATAATTTTTCCATTAGGGAGTCATGAAACATTGATTCTAACTTTTTAATTTCAAAGTTTTTCAGAAACTTCTATTTCACAAACCTGTCTCCTGCTCTCTCTTAAAACGCTCCACTCTCACCTTCCAATTCTACTACTTTTCAACCTTGCCGATTTGTTTCTATCTCCCATGCTGCCCTTCCTAATGTGTTTTTACACCCCGCATTTTCTAAATTATAAACTCATTTGAGCAGGGTCTTCATCAACCTATCATTCCTGTAATATTTTGTAACTGTCTCATTTATTATTAGTCTCCTGTGGAATAAGTTGGCGCTATATAAATGGCAATAATAATAATATAAAAAGTCAAACAAAAAAGTGTTGCAGTTGCAACCTAATTTTCTTGGAATCTATGTGATAGCTGACATGGGTTCTTTTTAACACCAAAAAACAATATATATCTCCACCCCTAGGTTTTCCATTAATGGACAAGCAACTGGCTGGTGTAGTGGAGGCTGCCAGGCTATCGTAGACACTGGAACCACTCAGCTCAATATCCCAGAGCCATACATGGGACAGCTGCTGCCATACCTGGGTATTCAACAGACACAGAACGGAGGAGTAAGGAATTTTTAGTATACCTTTTACATACATTCAAATACAATGCATGATTCTTCACTTAAATGGACTCTATACTCACCAGACCCACTACAGCTTAAAGAGTTCTGATGAGAAAAGACTGTGTTTACATTGCTGCCTAGGATAACCTCTAGTTGCAGTCACTCAGACGACCATAGTGCAGGACTGTTGTTCAGCATCCCCACACTCTGTATGGAGATGCTGAATGTTCCCCGTAGAGATGCATTGATTAAATGCATCAGTATGAGGATATGCTAATTTACGCAGTGCTTTGCAGCGCATGCGCAATACCTTCCAATGCTTTTCTATAGGAAAGCATTAGTCGACTGAGAAAGTGAAGATTGATGCTCTCAGTCATGGAGGTTGGACCAGATGTGGAGAGCGTGGGAGAAAAGGAAAGTTTTAACCCTTTCATCTCCATGGAGATGGGGGCAGAGTACCTAAACAACTGCTGCACTATAATTGTCAGGAATAAATGTTGTATTCCAGACTTGCAGTAAGTGGAGATATGAGAATGTTTGTAAAACATAATGGACTTACAGCTTCTGCTGTTCGAATGGTGCATCAAGATACCATGAAATCACCACATTGTAAAAGTGCGGTGAATGTAAGTACGTTCTTTACTTACGTCTAGAAAAAATGGAGAAGTGTAGTATGCAGCGGCCCAACAGAAGGTAACCCCTCCCTCTGAAGAGAGAACGTGTGACACATAAGATTACAGGAAAAGGGCTGCGCCAAGTAGATAAACAGTAATAATAATACAATACTTTGTATCAACAGGTCAGACAATACAGTATATGAAGTCTCACCGAAACAGTGGGACTAGGGTTCTGGTAGAATCACAGAAAGATGTATCCAAAATATTCAAGTCTCACTCGGAGATAAATGTCTTATAAGGTGCTTATTTTGGGTGTAGTGTCCTCAGTGCCTTCAGTGGTCCAACCGTTCCGCTTGTATGTAAAACAAAAGCGAGGGAAACCAATGGTGCAGTATGTACAAGCCAATATGGATAAAATAAACAAATATGCACAGTCAACTCACATTTAAAAGAGCTATATCCAGCTCTGGTGATAAGAGCATACAGTGGTATAATCCCTGCTTTAAAGGATATGTGATGGGAGTCCTCCAGAGGGATGGTGTCCAACACTCAGGAGAGGGATATATAAAAGTCAACTTGTACAAGTTGATACATTTATTGGCAGTTCCTGACACATTCAAAATAATTTGGTTATGTAATTTTAGGTTTAATTGTATCATTTATTCTGAATTTTTAGTACAATGTGAACTGCAACAATCTTCAGAGTATGCCAACTCTCAGCTTCACCATCAATGGAGTTTCTCTGCCATTGCCTCCATCTGCTTACATTGTACAGGTATGTTAAGAAAATAATACATGTAAATGTAGAGATCAACCAAACCTAACTTTCACCACTGAAGGGGTTGTTTGTAATTATGTGCAAAGTCTTTCAATGTTAATTTATTTAAAGAGATACTATAGTCCCCAAAACAACTTTAGCTTAATGAAGCAGCTTGGTGTATAGATCATGCCCCTGTAGTGTAACTGCTCAATTCTCTGCCATTTAGGAGTTAAATCACTTTTGGGTTTTTTTTATGCAGCCCCAGCCACACCTCCCCTGGCTGTGCCTCACACAGTCTGCATGAAGAGAAATGGTTTCAGTTTCAATCAGACATTACTTACTTTAAAGGTTTTTATCTCCTGTTCTGTAAATTGAACTTTAATTACATGACAGGAGGCTCCTACATGGTCTGGCAAGCTATTAACAGAGCAGGAAATAAAATTTTTGAAATTAAACATTATATTCAATACAGGAAGTGTAAACATTTGATGACTCTTTACAGGAAGTGTTTGGAAGGGCTGCGTAAGTCACATGCAGTGAGGTGTGAGACCCAAAATTAGGAACCACCGGCTGTGGAGATAATCTGGAAAATAAAATTGTTAGTGAAATTAGTAAAATGTAGTTATTTCTCCAGTTCACTCAATGTTATTCTGTTTTTGGCAATTTCCTTTTCAGTCTGCATAAAAAAAATCTAAGAATAGCCCTTATATTCTTTCTATTCACACAACAGTTGCCCATTATTTCTTCTTGGGAGTACTAAATATAGACACAAGAGGTCATACGCTTTTTGTTAAACTTTTTGCACAAGCATGCTAATGCATTTTTGTTCCTTGCAGGAAAATGGATACTGCTATGCCAACTTCTTAAGCATCAGCCTGCCTGCTCAGAATGGTGACCCACTGTGGATTCTGGGAGATGTCTTCCTGAGGCAATATTACTCCATTTACGACTTTGGAAACAGTCGTGTCGGCTTTGCTTCAGTGGCATAATCTACCTGTCTAAAGCTAAATCTCTGCTGACAATGGAGTGTATCTTAAACTATGACATCCCTGGCTCCTTGAGAAAGAGCAAGGTGTTCGCTGATTACTTTATCTCTCTTTGGATTTCTTATCTTACTTTACTGGTTCTCTGTTTTAATAAATCAGCTACAGAATAACTCTTGTGTATTTTCTGTTTTATATTCTGTACTCGTATATTTAGGAAATAATAACTACAGTAAATCTATTCATTGATTCACGACTTCACTTATTCATTGAAGAGCAACTTCAAAGCTCACAGAATTGAATAGTTTTTTTTTAAAACCACCTAATTAGGGCAAAAATAATTGGGCTTTAGTTAATGTATATGATCATACATTGCATAACCTGCCTCAATGGCAGTATATATGCCCTCCTTCCTCTGGTATCCACTGTATGTGAATGTATTAGAGCAGTGTTTCCCAATCCAGCCCACAAGACCCAATAGTCCAGGTTTTGTCAGTGTCTCCATTGGAGTAAAACAAGGAAGTGCATAAATCCTGGATTGTTAATGGGTCATGAGGACTGGTCATGGGGATCATTTATAAAAGTGCTCATTCACTTCACAAACTCTTCACACACAATGCACTTCAGCAAGCTTAAGTGCTTTACCTCTTTGAAGTGTTCCTTTAAAGTGAACCTGCATAGGAAAAATAAACTTACCTTAAAGGTACACTACAGTGTCAGGAATACAAATGTGTATTCCTGACACTATAGGTCTAAATAGCCATTAAGGTCCCTGGCTTAAAAGGTGATTTACTAACCTTTTTCCAAGGCTTCGCTGGTTTGACCCTGCCTCGCCCTTTTGGTGATTTTAGCCAATCCAATGCTTTCTTATAGAAAAGCATTGGGAGACTATTGTGCATGCGTGCAAAATTCCGCTCTGCGACAATTAGCATCTTCTCAGAGAGATGCATTGACTCAATGCATTTCTATTGGGAAAGTTCAGCAACTCCATGCATATCGTGGAGACGCTGAACGTCAGTGCAATATTGATCCAGGAAGCAGGTCTAGTAGGCGCCTGAGTGACTGCCACTGGAGTTGTCCCTAGGCAGTAAAATAAAAACTGCCTATACTCTGAAAGGGCAGTATTTATATTAAAATGCCTGCAGACACAGGATATAGACACATTAAGCTGTAATTGTTCTGGAGATTATAGTGTCCCTTAAAAATCGCACCTGTATACATTGAATACGATAGTACACAATGTATTTAATGTAAAATATAACGATTTACTCACCTCCCCTCCATTCCAGCATTGACATCTTTGAACTTTGTTGGTGTTGCTCTTTATGTAACACGCACTTTCAGCCATAATCCGACCTGATTTTTTATTTTATTTGCCTAAATCAGGGAAAACCTTCAGTCTTTATTTCCAGCTTGCTGGCGTCAGAACGGAGTGACACCATGTAACTCTGTTCCTATACTATACTGTTCCTATACTCCCTAGCCGCTAGAAATTATGTTTCCATAGCAACCACATGGGAGAACAGAAGGACCTTCTCTTGGAGGACATTTCTGGTGTCTATTGTCAGACAGCCAATACCTCTTTTTGGTAAAAAAAACTATTTTTAAATACGTTTCCTCCCAATCTATGGACTTGCTAGCAAAACAGCTAGCACAATGTACAGATTAAACTTTATGTTCTTTCAAAAAAGCAAGAATAAAAAATGGACTACAGGTATCATTTAAGCTGCCTTAGCACAGGACAATGAAAATTCACAGAATATTGGTGCTAAAGTTCTTATTCAAAACCCTTTGTACTCTCAAGAAATAATGGTTCATCTGTAAAAGGAGTTGTGTAAATTGAGCAACTGCATATGCCTCTCACTTCTAAAATTCACAACTGAGCGATACAAAGCACAGCGTATTTAGGTGCGCACTGACACAAAGGGAACAAGGAGTGCAGCAAGTACATGCTGCACCTGCTGTTTTAGCCACTGGAACACAAAGTAGAGTGTCTGATCACTATTTTAATGAATCAAAAGGGGGGCTGCAGATGGTGGTTGCTATAAATGGGGAATACATACAGGGCCGGTGCAAGGATTCTCGCCGCCCTAGGCAAGCATCCATTTTGCCGCCCCCTCATGAATGCAACTACATTCCCTCAGAAGTTTATTCACTAAACTCTGAATTTCAGTGAAGAGACATTTATGGAAAGAGACACACTGAGTAGACATTAAACTTTTTTCATGGCACTATAGCTTTCCCGTCTATCAAGTTGCCCCTACCTCGTGGTGCAAATGGGTTAAAAAAAAAACTTCCACCACTTACCCGGGTCCAGCACTGATGTCCCTCGGTGCTGGCTCGGTTCCACCTCCACTCCTCAATGGCTGCATTAGGATTGCCCCACAGGAAAGTATTACATGTGCTTTCCTATGGGGTTTTGTGTGATACTGGACATCCCCATGCATAGCCACTAGAGGTGGAGTTATCCCTGAATCCCTGAATTTAAAAAAAACTACAATAATTACTTTTGAAGAGTTAAGGGCCCTGGGACACTGCATTCAGACCACTTTAATGAGCTGAAGTAGTCTGGTTCCCTATAGTGTCCTTTTAAGCGAAAGCAGACGCACAGTGAGAAATTTAGAGAACGGAAACAGCCTGGGGAGACATTTCGGGAAAGGATAGAGAGACTGTTGAGATATTTAGGAAACAGAGACTGGGAGACATTTAGGAGAGAGACATAGTAAGCTAACACACACACACACTCACTCACTGACATATATAGTGTCACTTACACACTCTCACTAACACACATACATACACTATCACTGACATACACACAGTGTCACTTGCACACTCTAACTAACACACACAAACTGTCACTTACACACTCTCACTAACACACAGGGTCACTTGCACACGCTCACTAACATAAACAGTGTAACTTACACACTCTCACTAACACACACACACAGTTTCACTTGCACACTCTCACTAACACACACACACACTCTCTCACTAACACACACAGTGTCACTTGCATAGTTGCCAAATGTCCTGTTTTTCCTGGGACAGCCCCGGCAAGCTGCAGCCTGTCCCGGGCAATTAAGTCTCTCGGGAAAGTCCCGGCAACTTGCTTGGCCATATGCTTTTATTAATTCAGGACAGAGCTGCTGGGAGATGCTGGGGGCTATGGAAAGATGCTTGGGACTGGAGGGAGCACTGACAGTCTCCCTTCCGATATCCCAGCAAATAGGCTCCAACTCCGCCTCGTGGACGCAAGCTCCACCACCATGTTGTAAGCTCCACCCATGCATGCAAGCACCGCCTCTCATCATCAAGCTCCAACCCCAACGTTAAGCAGGAGACCTTGCTGCACAAAATGGGTACCTGACCTCCCAGCAACAGCCTCCAGTGCCAGGTAGGCTTGATATACTCAGCCTTGTGTGTGTGTGTGTATGTGCCTGCTAGTGAGAAAGCTTCTGTGTGTACTCAGCAGTCTGTGTGTGTGATCTCAGCAGTCTGTGTGTAATATAAATAAAGTAGCCTGTGTATATTCAGCAGTATGTGTATTCAGCAGTCTGTGTGTGTATTTATCAGTCTGTATGTATTCAGCAGCCTGTGTGCATTCAGCAGTCTCTGTGTGTGTGTGTATTCAGAAGTCTCTGTGTGTATTTGTGTGTGCGTATTCAGTGTACTGTGTATATGCACTCTGTGTGTTTATTCAGCAGTCTCTGTGTGTGTATTCAGCAGTCTGTCTGTGTGTACTCAGCTGTCTCGGTGTGTGTATTTAGCAGTCTTTGTGTGCATCTATTTAGCAGTCGGTGTGTGCGTGTATTTACCAGTCGGTTTGTGTGTATTCAGCAGTCTGTGCCTGTATTCAGCCTTCCGTGTGTATGTATTGTATGTATGTATATATTGCATTTGTTGAAGGTACCAATAAATATAAGCTTAATTTTAATACAGGTCTGTGTGCATAATATCCTTCCTGTATAGTGCTGATCTCTGTCCCAGGATATTATACACACATAGACCTGTATTACACAGTCAGTGCTCCCTGTATAGTGCTGCTCTCTGTATAATACAGGTATGTGTGTATAATAAGCTGTAATAGTCAGTGCTGCTTTCATTATAGTACAGGTCTGTATGTATAATAAGCTGTGATAGTCAGTGCTCCCTGTATAGTGCTGCTCTCTGTATAATACCCGCAGACTCCAGGAACTAGAAGAATCAGAAGCAGTGGAGTGGTGACTGAAGCCTCAATCTTAAACATTTAACATGTTGAATTGGGGGCATGAGAAGGGGCTAATAGAATATGTGCATATGTTTTCCTTTTGCTCCCATTTCTCTCTTTAATTCCATTCTGTACATTCTCCTTCTATTTTTTTTTTTTTTTAACCATATTCACTCCCCAATATAATTATTTTTGTGAACTAATGTATGTTCTATGGTATAGACACAACTCTCTGACTGAAGCACATCTGCACAAGGTCTTTCTATATTTGTACTGATAGTGTTACCACTGATACCCAACTCACCTAAAAGTGATAAAATGTACCTGCCTGATATAGATGCTGTGCTGCATCTATCGCACAGCAAGGATGCATGGTACTGTTGGTGGGAACTTGGTGTTATAAAGGTCTACTCAATAAAGAGAGAATTGCAGGGAATTGTGATGGGGATTTCCAACTTTAGGTTGAAATAGTGAAGCTGAATGGGAGAATTTTTCCAACTCGGCTACTTTGGCTTTAAGTTTAAAATTACCACCTCAATCCCCTGTAATTCTTTCTTTATTGAGTAGACCCTATAATTGTCACTATGATAAGTAGGCGGAGATTAATTGTGTGGGTTGGACATAGTGGGCGGCACTTTGCGGCAGTGGGTGTGGTAAATTTTCAAGGTATTTATTGATAGCTGCAAAGTGTCTCTTTTTTTAAAATGTTGGCAACTATGCGGCAGGGCGGGGCGAGCGAACTTGCAAACTCTCACTAACACACACACACTGTCACTCGAACACAAGCTCACAC